TCCGATTGATGCGCCTGTTACGTTCATAGACGTGATGCATATGGTGTTTCGACCGTTTATTGATCATGTTGCGTTGGTGCATCGATGATATTTTAATCGATTCACGGAGTTTAACGAGCATGAAGAGCATCTGAGACTTGTTCTGTGTCTACCAAGTTAAGCAAGTGAGTTTTGTCTAAACCGTGTTGGTTTTCTTGGTCATGTGATCTCGCAATATGATATCATGGTGGATCCTGCGAAGGTTAAGGCGGTTGTTGGTTGGAGTCGACCAACTACAATGATTGAGAGTCTATTTCTTACCATTCATATTTTCTTTTACGAGACTAACAGGGAAGACTACTCATTTCATTTGGGATGACGAGCGTGAGGCCAGCTTTGAGAAGCTAAAGAAGAGACTCGTAACTGCACATGTTCTTACCTTTCCTTCTAGTTTTGGGGATTTGTAGTTTACATTGATGCCTCTCGTAAGGGACTAGGTTGCATTTTGATGCAACATGGTAAGGTAGTAGCCTTTGCCTCTCGCCAGCTGAAACCGCATAAGCTTAACTATTCACCCCATGATTTGGAGTTAGTTGTTGTGGTCTATGCACTGAAGATCTACTATGCACTGAAGATCTAACGACATTATCTTTATGAGGAGTCTTATGAGATTTACATCGCCTACAAGAGCCTGAAGTACATCTTCACTTAACGGGAGATGAATTTGAGATAGAGATGTTGGCTAGAGTTGGTGAAGGACTATGACTGTCAGATTCTCTATCATCTGGGCAAGGCGAATGTAGTTGTTGAAACCTTCAACCGCAAAAACTTAGCCAGTGCTGCCGCTTTATTACTTTAGGTTGGTTAGTTAACAGAGGATTTGAGGATGATAGAGATTTAGACTATTGATCAAAGTGGTGATCATCTACTCGTAGCCCTTACCATGTAACCTACGTTGATCAATCAGATTGAGGCAGCTCAGAGCGAGGATCCAAATTTGGTTTGGATCATGGATGGAGTTTGAGTAGTTACTCGCTTCGAATTTTCCATCTCTGATAGTGGTGTTCTTTATTTCTGGATCAGACTTAGTGTTTTGAATGTCAGAGATCTATGGATGAAGGCCTTGAATGAGGCTAATACTTTTACTTTTTCTATTCACCCCGAGGGCACGAAGATATATCAGGGTCTTGGTGAGAGTTTCTGGTTGGGAAACATGAAGAAAGAGATTGCAGAGTTTGTGGCACATTGATTGATGCACATTGCTTAACTTGTCAACAAGTCAAGGCAGAACATCAGCGATCTGCATGCTTACTTTAGGCATTCCGTATTCCCGAGTGTAAGTGGGAGCTCATTACCATCGATATCGTGACAAGGTTACGGAGGACTAAAGAAGGGCATGATTATATTTGAACAGATTGACCAAATTCGATCATTTTCTCGAAGGAGACCTATTCTCTGGAATGACTTGTGAGACTTTACATGTATGTGATTGTGAAGTTGCATGGAGTTCCAATGTCTATTATTTCTGATTAAGATCCTCGTTTCACTTCTCTTTTTTTTAATAGTCTTCACAGAGTTATTAGGACTAAGTTGAGTTTCAGCATAACTTTTCACCTTCTGACCTTTTCACCCTCAGACAGATGGTCAGTTGGAGCGTACTATTCAAACTTTGAAGGATATGCTTTAAGCCCACGTCGTAGACTTGAAGGGTAATTGGGACACACATCTTCCATTGATTGAGTTGGCGTATAATAACAACTTCCATGCAAGTATTTAGATGCCACCTTACAAGGCACTATATAGGAGGAGGTGCATATCTCCCTCGTATTAGGATGAGGTAGGAAAGCGTCGACTATTGGGACCAAAGTTAGTTCAGATTACTGCAAAGAAGGTTGCTCTGATTCGTGCACGTTTATTAGCAGCTTAGAGTCGACAATGAAGTTATGCCGATCCTCATTGACGTGAGGTGGCATTTGAGAATGGAAGGTATATTTCCTTATTGTTTCTCATATGAGAGGCGTCTTCATATTCGGGCGGGAAGCTTAGTCTGGGATATGTGGGATCGTTTAAGGTCTTAGAGAAAGTTGGCAAGATTGCCTATTGCCTTGCACTGCCACCAGAGTTATCACACATTCATTCGGTGTTCCACGTATCTTCACTTTGAAGGTATCGCAATGATCCGTCTCATTTCATTTCTTATGAGCCAATCCAAATTAGAGAGAACCTCACTTATTACTAGTGACACATTGAGATTCTTGATTGAAGAGAGAATGCTCTCTGCACCAAAGCTATTTCTTTGGTGCTTGTCTTGTGGAACAATCCTAGGCTGGTTGTGTCCACCTTGGAGACAGAAGACGAGATGCGCTGGCACTATCCACATTTGTTTGATTTAAGTAAAATGAGTTTAGGGGACTAAACTCTTTTTTAAAGGGGGAAAGATGTGAAATCCCATCCTGAATTTCATTATTTAAATTTTGTATTTCGTAGTTGTTGTGACGCATCCTTAATTATGGCGTAATTTTTTTTTTCAAATTTGTAAAATGACGAAAATGCTCCTGTTGGACTAAACGGAGTCCTACGTGCACTTTTGAGCTCATTCGATGTTTTGTCTCTTTTCTTATCACATTTGGGTATCATGTGTCGATCCTAAACGTATCCTAGGATCGGAGCGTGACATTTACCCTACTGAGCTGGAAGGTCACCTCTTATGAATATTTGACAAGTGAGTCTTGAAAAAGTAGTCGACTTTCACAGAAAGTATAGAGAAAATTTTGCAATGTAATTTAAGAGATGTTTGTTTTCTTTTTTTTTCTTTTATTTTTTATCCACGCATCGAGTTCGGGAATTTAATTGTTCCGCCGATTCTAAATCTAAGGCGTTACAATAATAGTGGATATTATTTAATAGCATACAACATGATGCCTTTTAGATTGTCAATAACAACCCTTTCTGTATAATACATTAATATACAAAAAGCTCAAAGTTGCCGCAACCATATGCAATTATTGCGTTGCAACTAATATGTCAAGACTTGGTCTCATCTCATTGCACTAAAAAAATAGTACTTTAACAAAAACAATGTTTGACAAAAAAGAAAAGAAAAAGAAAAAGAATGAGAAATGATAATCACATTTAAGGGAATCATAGATGGATCGCCTTAGGCCTACGACATGATAGCCTAGATCAATGTGACATAGAGTATTGATTTGAGAGAAATATTGTATTGTATTGTATTGTAGTTTAACTAAATAAATTTTGATAATAACAACATACTACTTGGCATCATTCGTGACATGTGAGAATTAGAATTTATTTTAATTTACTAATCTTTGAAGAAAAAAGGTATTACTCACTGCCTTGCTAATTAAAATATTATGGATCTACACCCGTTTGAGAAATAGATTGAAGAAATTAACAAGGATAGTTAAGATCAGTTTTTTTTTTTTTGTTGGAATAGTTAAGATCAATTAAAATAGTTAATTCATTAAATGAAGAGATTGAAATAAAAGTCGATTAATCCTACAAAGTACAAACATTGGGAATTCATTTGGGTTTGAAATTAGTCACGGATTTCAAAGTTCATTGGGCCTAGACCCAATTGGGGCCCATGGATTTAAGTTGTGAGACAACATAAATCCATAAAGTCCAAAAGAGGCTGAATGAAACTCTCTTAGCCGGTTAAAGAGGGAGGAGACATCGTTAAGTCCGCTGCTATAGCATCTAAAATGGGCTATTTAAATAAGGTCCCAACTTAAAATTTAGGAAGAATATAGAAAAGAGAAATTTTGTTTACACCCAACTTTTGTTTATGGACAAGCACATTCACGAAAATTTAAATTCCAACTATGTTTGAACGAGGGAAATAAACTTGAAATTTGAGTAAAAATCAAAATTTATAAATTGACATGCACTAATTTCCTTGTTTGAATTTATAAACATATAAATTTACAATTTTCGTGTTGAAAAAAAAAAAAACTTGGAATTTGGGATCTCCAATTCCCAAATTTGAATTATACGTAAATATGCGTAATTTCTCAATTTCTATGATTGAGAGTTTCAAACTAACAAATTCCGTATTTAATTCCATTGTTCTTTTATGTTTAATCAAACAAGAAAATTCACAAATTTTAGAAAACAAAAATCCCGTAATTTTTAATTTCAGTCATTTTAAAATTTCGTAGTAATCTTAGATTTCTTCATCTAAACATAATGTTAGATGTTTACTTTTCCAAACGTAGTGTTAGATGTTTACTTTTCCGTTGCTAAGAAAAATGTAAAAATATAATTAAAAAAGTTGTACTTGATGACATATTTCTTTGTATACAAACCCTAGTGGCTCTTCAATTTGGGTGTCAAAGAAATTAAGATTATGTTAAAGAGTCTAGTAAGTCCTTTATAGTAATTTTACATATGAGCATAAGTATTATTTTACATTTGGGAACTTTAACGAAAAGCTCCCGGTGTTGTTCACTTTAACGAAAAATTACATTTTTACACTAAAAAGTCAATCCTGGTACTATTCACTTTACTCTTTATTTTGTTTTTATCGTTAAAACTCAAAGTTTTCAAGCCATTTTCATTAATTTTTTTAAATAAAATTGAAAGGTATCTAAAGACAAAAGTTTAGTGCAAACATAATTTCCCTTTAAAAAATTCCAACGCCAATCACACTCCCCTATCATATTTATAGGATTGCAAAATGGCTAGGAGCTCCTAAATTTAAGAAGTGAGAAAGAAGCTTTTAAGGGTACATATTTTTATTATGACTCCCTAAATTAGAGAGACTATTGTTATATTATTAGAAATTTTTTATTGGAGCTCCTAAATGGCTTTGTAACCTTTTTAGCTAAAATTTAACTAAAAATAGAGTACGAACCTAATTCTAGGATTGTTTTTCCCAGATTCAAATGCTTGATCGGAAAAACCGTAATTGATCGCCATTCCATTTTTGTGAACAGTGGCAATCCGATAGTTGAATTGTCATGAATTTTAAATATATTATTGTTGGTGCTATATGTGACTTGTAAAAACTTACGTTCATGTACCTGAAGTTCGTAGACTTTAGATCAAAGATTTTAGGGTTTAGGACCCTAAAGGTGCCGCTTTGACCAAAGGGTTGACTTTCGTATTAGCGATTCTCATAGCATCATAGTGTGTCATTGCCAACGTGTACGACTCAGATTTGATAGTTGATGGACTTGAATCTCAGCATAACTAGTAAAGCAATAATCTGGGTTAAACAAAACGGACAAAATCCACACAAAAAAAACTAAAAAACCCATAAAGAGCAGAGGAATGAAATAAAAAACAAGGAAAAAAAAAAAAATCAAAACACGTACCTTATACCTTATCTCTCCAGACTCCTTTGCCTACAGAAAGCCGAAGTACAATCGGTCCGTAAATGAAGCTAACAAGTATGTATGCCATTTTTTTTCCTTTTAAAGTTAAAACTGATCGACCGGAAGTTGAAATTGGCAGAAAATGAAATCAAGAGAGACACAGAAAAACAACGAAATTTGAAAGAATGTAATATTTTTTTTTTGTTCTTCTGGGTTTACAGAATTGATTTTTCACTTTTAGAAGTAAAGCAAAGTAGATTAAGCAAAAGAAGGTTGCTGTGATGAAAAAAAAACAAAACCAAGTGTGTGCAATTGTGCAAGATGATGGAGCAAATAATGAGAAGGGGGATGGGAAAGAACAACTCTCTTAGCACAAGAAGAGAGAAGATAATGAATGCATGAGTGAGACAATAGAGAAAACTCTCACGTAGTATGTAATTACCCTTACAAAAGACTTAAGCGACGACCTACCTATGACGGCAATTATTTTCATGGCAATTATTTTAGCACTTTGGTGTGGGAGTCAACAACCAACAAATTAACAATATTTATTGTATTATAAACATCAATGGGGTGAATGTTCTCCATGAATGAAAAGAACAACCTACAGACTATAGAGGTGCTAAAGACACTAAGTAAATAATTTAACCTTTTTTTTCTTTTTTTAAATTATTATTATTTAGGAAAGGGGGAGGATTCAAAACTATTACAATAATTTAGAGGTGGAGAGTTTCGAACTCTAAATGCATGGGTGGAAACCTGATGCTCTGTCGACTAGGATTTTAAACCACATACAAATACAATATTTAGCTTCCTAAACATTTTTTTAAACTCTTAAACTCTATACTGCTAAAATTTAACACCTCAGTTTTACTAGATGTCCAAAAATTGTTTTACCGAACACAAAAATGGGTGTCCAAAATCACTCCTCAAACTAATTAAAATCTTCCAATTACATCTCCAACATTGGATGCGAAGCTATTCTATTCAAATTTTCTTCAATTTAAGTTACGTTATTTGTATATGATACACTTGGTCAATTTTTTGTCAATTCATCTTGTTTTACCAGAAAATTAGTTTAGAGACCTAATTTTTATTCAAATGTTAACTCAAGGATTAAGTTAACAATTTATCCTACCAAAAATAAAACTTGAAGTATAATTCAAAGACTATTACTATAGTTAAGCCTTTGTAATTTTTTACCAATATTTGTCTAAATTTAGACTGGAAATACATGCACCGGTTCCTCGATATAGAAATTAAAGCTGGGTTGGAGGTTTTCTCTGCTAATTTGAGTATTTGATCCACAAATTGAAGTTTTTCTCTAATATGGCTTGGAAGAATAAAAGTTGACTGTTTTCATTTGTGCTATCAAACTCAATCGTACAATCTGAATCCACGAGTTAAGGAGAACCACACCTTTATCTCCTCCTGCCTAACAATTTAATGTGTTGGTTGTTAGAAATTTAATGTTGGTTGTTGGTTGTTACTAGTAATTTAATGTCGGTTGTTAGTAATTTAATTGATATGGGGCCATTGACCCCATTGACTCTTCCATCATCACACACGCTACCGTCATTGAAACATTTGAAATTGAATCACCATAACACCGAAAGGGGTTCCCTTCGGGTTTTCTTTACGAGGATTTTAGAATCTTCTAATTATATTCGTTTATTGTAAATCGTATAGTCAGTTTTCATTACATATGATTTATATTTAATTTTAAATAAAAAATATTATAATGATTTCTGACCGTACGATATTACAATAAACGGATGTGATTAGAGGATTTCCAGAATCCTCACAAAGAGGATCTAGGATCCTCATTCATAACACCCATTTGTTCACATGTAAGTCCTTCCTAATATTCAACCTTACAGAAAAGAATTTGAAATCTAACATTATAAAATAGAGAACTTTAACGAAAAACTCCCGGTACTGTTCACTTTAACGAAAAATCACATTTTTACACTAAAAAGTCAATCATGGTACTATTCATTTTACCCTTTATTTTGTCATTATCATTAAAACTCAAAGTTTTCAAGCCATTTTCATTAGTTTTCCTTATAAAATAAGGATGTTTTTTCTGCACCAAATTATCTTAGATTGAACTAGTTTCAGAGACAAGAACTAGGCTTAGCTTAAACTAAGTTGAATAAAAATAGTGAAGCATTTAGTATAGTGTCAAACTAAGTCGCAAACTGAAATATTTTAGACTAAATATTTTTGTTCAGGACAACAGAAAATTAAGAAACAAATGTAACACCCGGTTGTCCCACCATCTAGCAAAACCATTTCTATATACAACTAAGCAATTAAAATATGTCTTCCCTCACAACGAAGCAAGTCAGTCATTCGATTCCATGAGCACTAGTGCTAATCCAGTGAAAGGAAAAACAGATGAGAGAGGAAAAGGCCACCAATTTAATCAAACAGTTGGATGATCCAACTAGAACAAATGGAACATCCCAATACTAAATTAACCCAGTACACAGCAGAACAAGGTAAACTGCTTAATTGTACATTCTACAATTTTTTACAATAAACTCTGAAAAATTACTAACTGCCAATCAATCATCCGAGCTATATTCACCCGATTCAGGAAGAACTGCAACAGTAGCGCATCAACACAACTCTTTATCCATTAGGAGGAGACAGGTTCCATCTGAATTCCATTTTAAATCAACTATGCTAAATTGTGGTTGCGGCGAGATGCTCACATAGTAGGCATCACCAGGAGTCCACATGTACAGATGAGAATTTCCCTGAAAACAAGACGAGTGCACGTAGTCCACTACAACACACATGCAATGGACTAGGCCATCTCCAACCGAAGGGCTCCAACGATGGAGAGGCCGAGTTTAGCCCTCTGGCCCTCCAAGATTCTTCAAGATATTAATATTTTAATAACAGTACAAGGGCATATTTGCATAAGGCCATATTTGCCGTCGTCCAACCGAGGGCCAGAGAGGGCTCGCTGTCTACAAAAAACCGTCTCCAGGACCAAAGGCCAAAGTTAGGCCAAAGGGATAATATATTTATAATAAAAAAAATTTTTGTGAAATAGAAGTTATAGGAAAAAAAATGGAATTTAAAAAAACAAATATGAAATAAATTTTATGAATAAGGTAAGTTATGGAATTTAAGGAATATTTTAAAAAAATATGAAACAATTTGAAATATTAAGTATAAAAATTAAATGGAAAAATGAAAATGAAAATTATTATTGTGAAAATATGAACCTTAAGTTAATATATGATTTAAAAAGTAGGTTGGAAATTTACAAAAAAAAAAATCTACCAGGTTTGTAAATAAAATTTGAATAAAAATTAGGAATTAGTTAGAAATTCATAAAAAAAAATTATTTGAATACACGGCTTAATGGCTAGCCGGAATTCAATATTAAAGTTGTACAGTTTCCGCCCCACCAAAAGATTGCCAAACTAGAAGTAATTAAATCTTGTAAACTGTAGGAATAATATTAATTATAGTATATTATAGTAAGCCGACAGAAATAACAAAGCATTAAAAAAAAAATAGCCAACCCTCCAGCCCTCTAGCCCTCTCCGATCTCGTGGTGCCTTCCCAGATTCCAGAGCCCTTTGGCCTAGCCCTCGGTTGGAGACGGGTTTCGGGCTATTTTCGGCCCTTTGGCCCTCTGGACCCTTCGGTTGGAGATGGCCTTAGATACTTCCATGTAATTGCTAGGACTGAATAGAGGATCATACTGAATAGAGGATCCTCTTCGGGTCCATTTGTGGGGATCCTAAGGCCATCTCCAACCGATGGCTGGCCAGAGGGCTCGTTTTAGCCATCTGGCCCTCCAAGATTTTCCAAGATATTAATATTTTAATGAACAGTACAGGGCCATATTTGCCTCCGTCTCCAACCGAGGGCCAGAGGGCTCGTTTTAGCCCTTTCACAAAAAACCGTCTCCAACCGAGGGTCAAAGGGCCATAGAGCCAAACATAATTTATTATTTAAAAACTACAACTTAAATTCAAATCCAACGGCTAAGTGACGTCAGCTAGCCGTTGGAGCTGACATCATGCTAGCCGTTGGATTTGAATTTTTTTTTGCTATAAATAGGGTGGATATTGGGATATAATTCACACAACTTTGAATTGAATCTATTTAAATTCAATCTCTTTCAATTTAAGTTTACAATGAATTCCAACTTTGGATCCTCTTTAGATTCCAACTGGGGGTCCTCATCCAATTCTAAAAGAGAAGCAAAATGGGCACAAATGAGACGAGAAGATGAGGAGTCTGATGAAGAAGTTCAAGTAAGGCGCAACAAACAAAACATAGCAGCAGCCATGGTGTGTCAGCCAACTGAGGAACAACATCAATGGGGTGATTCTATTGTTGATCGCTCTTACAAACCACAAAACAGAGCGATGACGTATGCCAATCTGATGAACAACTACTTCGACCCCAACTCGGTGTACACAGAAGAAGATTTCAGACGTTGCTTTCGGATGAGGCGTCATGTCTTCGAGCGTTTACTTTGTGATGTCCAGCAGGTCAATCCGTACTTTTGACAAAAGCAGGATAAAGCAGGCCGCCCTAGTTTCTCACCTCATCAGAAAGTTACTGTTGCACTCCGAATGATGGCCTATGGCTCCCCAGCTGATTCGATGGATGAAACCCATGGTATGTTTGAGTCTATATGCCTTGATACTCTTCAAGAATTTTGTGACACAATTGTTCAGCTTTACAAAGACGAGTACCTCCGCGAGCCAAATCAAGAAGATCTGAATCGGCTCCTTCACAAAGCTGAAGACCTTGGGTTTCCTGGCATGATAGGGTCATTAGACTGCATGCATTGGGATTAGAAGAACTGTCCCACCGGATGGCAAGAAGGCTTTAGCGGAAGGTCGAGAAAGCCAACTGTTGTGTTAGAGGCGGTTACCTTATATGACACATGGATCTGACATGCTTTCTTTGGAGTCCTTGGATCCTAAAATGACATTACAGTTCTTGGGCGTTCACCCCTCTTCAATAACTTGACTGAAGGTAAAACACCTCAACTTGACTACTAAATCAACGGCCGTCAATACAATATGG